TGTGAAAAAGTATTTGTTGTTAATATTCTTTTTTTCATTCAGTTTTTCCAGTTACGAGTCCTTTTTTTAAAGCTGATCGTTTCATGTTCATTTTATTTAGTTCTTTTTCTGTAACAGATTTAATGTTTAGTATAGAGCTTAGAAAAAATTTGCAGTGTGAGATAGGCAAGAAGTAAGGCATGTAGCAACATCAGCACAGCAAAGGCACTGCTTTAAAGGCAAGGAAGGGCAAAAATATTTTAAGTCAAGTGATAGCGATTGCAGTATGAGTCGTACGATTTTTGAATCAAGCACGGGCAACGCCGGGCCATGCTGCTAGTGTATAATATCGTTAAGACGCATGGGGATACTGGGAGTTAAATAGAATGAAATGTCTTTAGAAGAAACTGGAAAGCCAACCCTAAACAGGAAACGAAAGATAATCCTCTACTCCAGTTCAAAAGTACAGGAGGAGTATAAACCGGGTGATAGACGTACATGTCTACTGCTATTGAATAAAAAAAGAGCATAAAAATAAATAAATAATTAGTAAATAAAATTTCAGAATTCAGGCGTAGACATTAGAAGTATAGAGTTGAAGTAGACTTTTGAAGGAACCGGAAACCCAATTCTAAACCGGAAACAAGGGATAAACATCTATTCCTGTTCAAAAGACCGGAGAGGTGGACCAGACGATAGGAGAACCTATCTTCTACTATTATATGACAATTTAAAGAGAAAATTATAAAAAAAAAACTTTAAAAAAAATATCTCAAAACAAATTAGGTGAAGACAATACAAAAGAATTTCATTACAAATTTTGAAAAGGTTAAATGTGATACCTTTTGCAGATCAATTTGTTTTGGAAATTAAACCATAACTCGGCTTCTTCTACGGCAGCCTCTTTTAAAATTCCACCAACGACAAAACAAAAATAAATGGAAACTGGTCGTCTTCAGGAATAACTGGACATTCTAGAAATTGTCAAGGTCGATTGGCAATTGACAAAAACACTCAGTGTGGAAAGGATTTTGAAACTAGAAAAATACGTGTTTTATCCCAGATTCTCAGTATGCGCGTTAATCCTTTAGATATTAAAAGTGTGGGAAGAGATTATGGGATTTTTTTTTCTTTTAACTAATTAATGCATATCTTTCTTTCGGGAATGGAGAAATATTCTAGAAATAAAAGATGGCGGAAAACCATGCCCAGAACTTGAAAATCGTTGCAACATAAAAAATCAATTTCATCGAATGCAAAGAGGAAAAGAAGACGTTACGTGGATTGACTTCATTTTGGTAAAGAAGGAATTAATTATTAAAAGGAATTCAATGGCAATTAGCCTAATTGACGTTTATATAATTTATTTTATTTATCGAAAAAAATTAGGATGTTATTAAAATATTAAAAGACACTGTTTAAATGTACGTATATGTGTATATTTGCATGCAAAAGAGGGAAAGAAAAATAATGAGAAAGAAAGAAAGAAAGAAAGAAAGAAAGAAAGAAAGAAAGAAGGAAAAGAGAGAAAAAAAGAAAGAAAAAGATTGGATGATCTTTGAGGCATGCGTACAACGTAAAATTGTTTCAATATATACAAAAATTAATATCCTCGAACTCAAAATGGATTGACTTAATTTTGATAAATCTTCTCGTCGAAAAGGAACGAAGTATTAAAAGAAGTTAAATTAAAAGACAGCTCACACTTTGGGTTGCCTCTTTTGTTAACAATCATACATTCCGTTTTCTTGTAGTCAACAGTCCTTTCTTCTGGCTTTCCTTTAGTATCTTATCTAAGGATTTTTTTCTTCTTCAGAGACAGAAGTTCAGCACACTTTGTTTTTAATAGAATTTTTATTGCCCTTTCTCCTCGTTATCTTTTTATCCGTTTTCTTCTCTTTTATTTTCCTGTTACTTAATATTTGGGTTGGTTTGCTTTACTTTACGGTATATCAACCTCAATGGGTTATTTAATGCCGACAAGATTTTTATTGCTGGCAATATTTTTTCCAAAAATGTATTGCTGGTAATATTTTTTTCCTTTAAAAAAAGCATTGCTGGTAATATTTTTTTCTTCTAAAATGTATTACTGACAATACTTTTTTTCTCAAAAACGTATTGCTGGTAATATTTATTTTCTTCAAAAATGTATTGCTGGTAATAGTTTTTTCCCAAAAAATTTATTGCGGGTATTAAAACCTATTTTTACACTTTCAGAGTGTTTTGACCCCAGTTAACTATTTGCCCATAGTTGGGACCCTAACAGGTGCTACCACCCCGGATCAGGGTAGACCTGGGAATACCAGCAATTAAGAGGTGGTTCTACCATCCTCAACACCTTGTAATCACAAAGGCGTTGCTGTTGGACGTAGTTTATTGTCTTACCCATGACGCGGATGTAGTTTATTGTCTTACCCATGACGCGGATGTAGTTTATGACGCCTTAATACTTTGTTTTACTTTTGGAAGTCATCTTTCTCTCTTCCGATGTGCCTTCGGGTATCTACTCATTGTCTTCTAAGCAGGCTTCAACAGAACATCTCTGTTGCCTCGTCTCCTTTTCCACTCGGAGAAAATTATTTTGTTTTTGGTTTTGTTTGTTTAACGTCTTAACAAGTCCTTATGAGTCATTTAATGCCGAAATTTAATTTTCTTAGGGGCTCAGAAATAATAAAAATATGATATATGCTATTCTGCTTTCGCAATTGAATCCATGGTAGATAATACTTAGCTTTTATGCATAATCATGTTTGTGTGGACATAATTACTAGGGGCAGTGATCCGTGTTTTATGTTGTTGTTTTGTTAAAGTTATATTTTGGAATACAGTTTGATTTAAGAAATTATCGGATATTATATGGATTAATGGCATAAAAGAGTTCTTTTATGTTGGTTGTTTGGTAATATTTCAAACAGATTTGGTTGAAGTCTCTACAATTTGTTAGTATATGCGTATTGTTGGCAATTTTACTCTTTAATATGTATTCTTGGTAATTTTTTATATAAAAATGTATTACTAGTATTTTACTATAAAAATGTATTTTTATACTTTCATAGTGGTTTGTTTGTGGGCCATTATGTGCCTGTAGCTGGTACTCTAGAACAATAACAAGAGGTGGTTCCACCCCCCTCAAAACCTCCAATCTCCCTATCAGAGGCCTTGCTGCCGGATGTAGTTTATCGTCATACCCAGGACTAGAGGAAATTGTAGAGGGTTCACTGCCATATAGGAGGATTGGTATGTCATAGCAAGTTAAGCATTCTTTGCTTCTAACGAAAATTAATACTTGGTTTAACTTTTGAGGTTTACGGCTGTATCACGTTGAAACACCGGTTCCGTACAATCAAGTTAAGCAACGTTGAGCTTGGTCAGTACTTAGATGGGTTACCGCTTAGGAATACAACGTTCTGGAAGCTTGGACGTGTGGGTAGTGTAATGGATAATGGCTGGCAATTGGAAATCGGAGAGCTGAGTTCTAATTCCAATCGGATTTGTTATATTTACTTATGCGCAAGTACCCTTAAAAAAGGTACGAATCCATTACTTCTGCCGTCAGTTATGGTTTAAAAGTAAGACTTATATCAACAAAACATTATTATCTAAAAAAATATTCTTACAATCTAAAAATATTTTCTGGCGTTAGCTGCAAAGGGTTGATAAGAGGTAAAAAATCACGGGTGTCTTTTGGAATAGAGGCCTCTGTAGATCCACCTTTTAATTGCTATACTTCCCAGGTTCGCACTGACCTGGGGTGTTAGCATCTGTTAGGTTTATAACTATGGACAAGTAGTTAGCGCCAAAACTGGGGTGAAAGCACGGGGTCAAAGAATAAAAATACGTTTTTATAGTAAAAATACCAGCAATACATTTTCATAGTAAAAAAATTAACAGCAATACATTAAAAAACATATTACAAGCATTGCATTAAAAAAAAACATATTACCAGCATGTTAACGGACATTCATTGCCACTTTTGTAATGACAACAAATGCTCGTTGTCATTTTCGTAATGGTCGTTGTAGTAGAGACTTTGTAATCACAGATGCAACTATAGTACGCCATTGAACAATGCTGGTATCAGACGCCTTCGAATATCACTTGTACTAATAGTACTTGCTCGATAATACTCACAAGACAAGTAACCATCCTATAGTGATCTGAATAGATAAATAGTATAGTGAATAGAGTATAGAATAGTGGTCCGTATAGTAATAGAGGATAGTCTAGAAATGGTGATCCGTATAGTAATAGAGGATAGAATAGAAATGGTGATCATTTAGACAGCACGATACTTCCTATTTATGGGTTTTCTTTATGATCACGTGATCTAAATCTCAAAATAGGATCGCCGGTGTTTGCTCACTGGCGATCTAGGTTCAAACTCGAGTGTCGGTAGCGACACTTTATTCCTATATAACACAGCAATGCATAAAAAAGTACATTTCTGAAATAAAAAGAAAATATTACGAGCAATATTTTGTTGCTAGAAAATAAAAATTACCAGCAAAACATTTTTGTAAAAGAAATTACTAATGCTCCCAAGTAAATCAAATTTCGACATTAAATGACCCATAAGGTGTTGATATGCCGCTAAACAAACAAACAAACCCTGAAACTCTTCTGGAATAAGAATTCTAAAATTCCCAGGATCTACATCTCGTTCACGCGACATTACAAAATTACAAAATCTTGGAAACGATGCGAATCCACCGCTTCTGCACCCAGCTATGGGTTAAATAGTAGAACTTGTATCAGAAAATCATTATTATCACTAAAAAAAACTATTTCAATCCATAAATATTTTCTGGCTTGAAATAACCTGCAAAAGGATGATAAGCCGTAAAAAAACAATCAATTAACTTCTGGAGCGCATTTTTTGCTATTCCAACTTCAGATTTCTGTGCCACATTTTTATTGTCTGTAATAACACTTTCCGTGCTTGCTTTATTTGGGCGTCTCCATTTCAGAACAAAAATTCTCGTTGCGTTAATATTTTAATTTTTTTTTTTTTTTTTTTTTAGATTACAGATTCTTCGTCTGCATAACAACCACCTGACATGTCTTCCGGAGGAGATGGGCAATATGAAACGCCTCAGTGTCGTCATCTTAGCCTTCAACCATTTCACCACGGTCCCGCAGGTTCTGCTACGCTTGCACGGATCCTCAGAGACGATGGACAGTATCATAATGGCCGGCAACTACATCGAACGACTTCCGGGTGACTTACTCAGTCGGATGAAACTCATCAAGAAAATCGACTTCCGGATGAATCGCCTCACTTTGCTGCCCAGTGAAATTGCCAAATTCCAGTGCCTGGAGTTCATGACACACCTGGACATCCGGGACAATAATATTCAAAATTTGGATATCAGAGCTCTCAAAGGACTTGTCTATCTCAACTGTGAGCGAAATTCTATGTACACTTTGCAATTGAGTGGAGTCGGTCTAAAATATGTCTACGCTGGTCATAATGGTGAGTCTTGTTTGCGTTGTGCTAAAATATTCATTATGGAGATTACTAGGGATGACTTTAAGCCAACTGGACACATTGCTTAGAATTATGATTACTTTTTTGTGGTTGAAGTTGTATAATTCCACATTGTTTATAAATTCAGTATCTCTAAAAAAAGACAGACTATCTCTAAAAAAAGACACTCTTATTGTATACGATATAAAACCACAACTCTATCTCGAAGACTCACTTGTCATAATTCTGTCTAAAGTGCTATATAGCAATACATGCTTCTTATTCTTTATGTGCAGTGTCCGCTCAAGATGTAGGCGATTATGGCTCTCCACAATTTCCCGTCCCCTCTAGCTTTTAATAAATAATAATTGTCTTTTTGTTATTTCTCCTAAACTATGTTCCGGAATCCATTTACTTAAGCACATCTATGTTATGTTTTCCTCTGCCTTTATTGTCCCAAATCTGTCCTGTGAGCATCAAATTTTCCAAGTTCTCCCAGAAATTTCAACTGTCTCTTCCTGATGTTAAGTGTAAGTTTTCTTTTTTTTTTTCCATTTTCTGTAAAATCGTCGTTGCTCACATGTCCGAACCATTTTATCCTTCTCTAGAGCCACATTTTTGTTGCCTCAAATCTCTTCGTCATATACGAAGAGATTGTTCAACATTTACTGACATAGGCGAAGACAGATATCACTTAATATTTCGATACTTTTTTTTTTCTAACGAAGCTTTGACAGCTTGTTTACTCCTTCAACAGCAAATTACAGAAATTCATCCACCAAAAACAAAATAAATATATTTCTTTCTTCTTTTTTTTAAAACTCGTTTCATGACAATGCCACTCGGACGCAGTGGATTACAAGGAGTGAAATAGAATTTAATCAGAAGAAAGGACAATGAGAGAACAGATTTCAAGAAAATAGAAGACAGCGATTTGAGTTGCATTTAAATTTTTGAAGATTTTAATTATCAGTGAAGCAAGAAATCGAAAGAGAGTTCCACAGGGGAACAGAGCGAGAAAGGAAACTGTTAGAATAGAACTGACGGTTGCATCTCGCTAGTTCAACAGTAAAAGGGTGAGACCTAATTGCCAATCTAGTAGCACAAATGAATTCATATAGTTTGGGACCAAAGGAAAAACAATTAGTCAGAAGAGTTACCCCATGCAAATATTTGTAGAAAAGACAAATATAAAATACATCCTGGGTAAGACGATAAACTACGTCCAACAGCAAGGCCTCTGATCAGGAGGTTTTGAGGAGTGTGGAACCACCTCTTAATTGCTGGTGTTTTCAGGTCCATCCTGACCCGCCGTGGACCTGTTAGGGTCCCAGCTATCGGCAAATAGTTAACACTCAGATTACATTCGTGTCCTGGGTATGACGATAAACTACATCCGCGTCCTGGGTAAGACGATAAACTACGTCCAACAGCAAATGATGTTGCCAGCTGTACGTTTTTGAAAACATAATATTACCAGCTATACATTTTTGAGAAAATAATATTAACAGAAATAGATTTTTGACAAAGCAAAAATATTACCAGGAAAAAAAAAGTTGTCGGCATTAAATGACCCATTGAGGTTGATATGCCGTAAAACAAACCAAACCAAACCAAACCTGGAAAGGATGAAAACGAGGAGGAAGCTTATACTTAACATAAGGAAGAGGCAGATGAAATTTCTTGGACACGTAATGAGAAAGGAGGGACTGGAGAATCTGATACTCACAAGTCGAATAGAGGGGAAAAGAGACAAAGGAAAGCAACGCATGACATACCTGGCGGGCTTAAGCGAGTGGATAGCAGAACGTGGTCTGGAGGGGGAGGGGGAGTTGGCACAAAACTTATTGAGAGCCACAAGGAATAGGGAGAAGTGGAGAGCCATGAATGCCTACGTCCTGAAAGTACACGGAACTAAAGAGAAAAGAAAAGTGTGGTTATTTCGTCTTAAGTCGTTTTTCGACCTTTGGAACCAATTAACGATATAAAAATATATATATATATATATATATATATATATATATATATATACCTGTGTAAAAATCGAATATGACGTTTTCACACGCCAGTATAATTAAGTACTTTTCATGCACAAATATTTCGTCAGTTACAGAGCTAACATCAATGTCTTCTGGATTATAAATTTATTTGAATATACGGTTTATCAACACTTTCTGGATTATTTAAAGCCGAAACTTATCTTGGATAATAACAATAATTCTTTCTTTTTTCAATTGAATATTACATTAACATTTTTTAAAATAACAATAATTTTTCCAAATAAAAGCCCTACTATTTAACCTATAACTGGGGGGAGGAAATGACAGTGTCTTCTGAAAAATGTCATGCTACATCCACGGAGTCGAATTACACTCATTTCTTCCGTATTCCAATTGTAAGGAGGAAGTTCAAATCAAACAGCTTATTCCCAAGAACTGCTAATTTTCTGAACAGGCTCCCGCATAGATGCTCTCCTACAATCTTAAATTATTCAAATCACAAGGATCAATCGTTACCTCTCCTCCCTATCCTCATAATCTTTTCATTCATATCACTTAACATAAACAATAAGCGTACTACTTGATTGGCTACGTGGTCTCATCGAAATAGCTAGATTAAACCGTAAGTTCTATTCTAATAGTTTCTTCTCTCACACTTCTCACCTGTGGAACTCTCTTCAAGTTTCCTTCTTGCCTGCCGCCTACAGCCTTCCTAAATATAAATGCAACGTCAATCATCCTCTTCTGTCTTCTTGAAACCTGTTCCTTTATTGCCCTTTCTACTCACTAAAGTCTTCTCATTCTCTTTCAATCCCAGTAATCCCTTGCGTCTTAGTGGCATTATCGCCATCTTCTGCCTTCTTGAATTCTGTTCTTTTATTGTTCTTTCTCCTTACTAAATTCTTCTCATTCACCTCCATTTCCAGTAGCCCCTTATGTCTTAGTGACTTGCTTGGGGTGAAATAATAAAAAAAAAACTCTCTACCTTGAGAGGCTCTTGAGCTGACACATTTTTGATATTCCCGTGTTTCTTTTAAATCTTTCAGAGCTCAAGTCACTTAACATTACACCAAAACCGGAATGGCTAATCGACATTGATATCTCACAGTAAGTACTCATGTTGAATTTATTGTCTATTCTCTTTGTCTTCTATTCGAATTTTTATGGATATTGTTTCTTTCCCACGTTCCGTATTTTGAAACGCCGTATTGTTAACAACAAAAGATTTGTTTCTCTTCTCTCTTTTCAATGCCAATTATTGCAAATATTAGTCATAAACGTTTTCGATCATTTCCACTTGACGTATTTCGGCACATTTTAGAAGATTTCCCTATTTTAAAAGATTCACAACCCGGCGAAACAGTATGCACCAGGTATTTGAGAACAGGCCATATATGGAAAACGTCCTAATCTAATATCACGCGGAATGCGCAAAATTTTAACGCTTTCATTTTTCTCTCAGATTTATCAAAACAATTATCATGGTAGCTTCCATAAAAAAAGATACAACATGCGCCAGATATTTGAGAACACACTTGAAACAGGCTATACATGAAAAACGACCTAACGTCATGTTACGCGGCAGGCGCCAAATTTTAACATCATCATTTCTCTCTCAGACATATAAAAAGTATTACCATGGTAGCTCCCACAAAGAATATAAAACATGCACCAGGTATTTGGGAACACACCTTAAATAGGCTGTATATGGAAAACAACCTAGTGTAATGTTACGCAGCATGCGCCAAATTTTAACCTCATCATTGCTCTCTCAGATGTATCAAGGGCATTACCATGGTAGCTTCCAATCAGACAAAGAAAACAAAATGCTACGATGTTCTCATGGCATTATCCTACAACTTCATTTTCTTGAAAATGGTAGGTGCCTCTTCGCGGAATCTCTGGCGAAGTACACCACGTTCATGGTATTTTTGTTTATTCTCTTGGCGGTTGTGAGTAATGAGGGCCATTTATTGCCACAGGGCCTCTGGTTCAACACCGCCGCCTTAATCGGAGGGCTGAATGCAGTGTTCAAGACCTGGATCGAAGAGAGCGTACCAATACGGATCTGCTCCCATCCACACCACCCACTGAACTCAAGCTGTCCAAAAACATTCGAAAACATGTCTCTCCAACCAACATGTAAACTTCTAGACCTACTAATTTGAATCCAGTTGGCGACTGTCAAATGTGAGGTCACTCTACGAATGCCCCTTATAACATGTAACCCAGTAACTACCTACCGCATGGTCGAGTAAACAGCGGTTCCTCCACCAGGCTTTTCTGATAAGAAGGCTGGCTAGACATCCAGCAAGATTAAAAACAAGGCTTGACAAAGGGCGTTAGATATGTTTGTATGGTCCACTGTCATCTACAGTGGGTGATGATAAGTTTTTAACCACCCTTAAGTACAGCATTTTTGGCTTGTGTAATAACATATCTTCTTTATTTTCGGGCAATACCGTGTTAGTATCAAACTACTCTCATCTATGAACGATAGTTGACTTATATTTTGCAATGAAAGTTCGCGGAAGTAAGGAAATTGGTGAATTTCAACGAGGCCAAATATTAGGATGGCATCAGTGCGGCTAGTCAAATAGAGAAATTGCAAGGTTTTTCCAGGTTAATCATCAAACGGTTAATAATATTGTCAAGAAATTGAATGAAGAAGGCCATTGTCATGTGGAACAGCGTTCAGGAAGATCAGGCATCATGTCTGAGTGAACGAAAAGTGCGCTGAATAGGGAAGTCATCAGAAACGATCGTCAGAGCGTCAAAGATGTCAACAGCATGGAAATGTCGCCATATCCGGTGAGAAAGACTGTGAAAGAGCTAGGCTATCAATGAAGAGTTGCAAGAAAGAAGCCCTTGATTTCAGGGGTTAACAGGAAACTTCGTGTGGACTGGGAGAGAGAATTCGAGAGCAAAGATTATGAATTTTGGCGGTCTGTAATTTGGTCAGATGAAAGTAAATTCTTCCAGTATTCGAATTCGAGACAGGTTTATGTTTGGGGAAATCAGAATGAAACGTGGAACACTGAATGTCTGTAGGCGACCGTGAAACATGGAGGAATTGGAGTAATGGTGTGGGGCGCGATCTGGTTTGGAGGGAAATCTGAGCTGATTCTTGTTGACGAGTGGTTGAATGGTTCAAAATACTGTCAAATATTAGAGAAAGGAATACTCCCACTATTAGAAACAAATTAGATTGACAAGAATGTCTACCTTTTTCAAGAAAATGGAGCGCCATGTCATACGAGCAAAGTAGCAAAGTCCTGAAAGGAATTGCAAGGAATAAGGTCACTGTTATGGGTAGCCTAGACTCCTGACATGAATCTATTAGAGCACGTTTAGGAACACCTTTATCGAAAACTTCGAGAGCGTGCAACCAAAATCACGTCAGTGCCAACTCTAAAAGAAACATTGCTAAAGGAGTTGCAAAATATGGATTAGACGATTGTTGATAACTTGATCAAATCCATGAAAAATCAAATACAAGCACTGAAACTAGCAAATGGAGGACCTACCTAATACTAGTTCCAAATACTGTTTATGTTGAATAGGGATTACGTAATTAAGTTTTGAAATTGGATCTAGTTTATTCCTCCTGGTTAAAAACTTTTCTTAGGCTACTGTAGGTAGGCTATATATGAATACGTATATAGAGGGGGGGATGTGCATGTGTGTGTGTGCACGCGCTCGTGCGTAAGCGTGTGTGTGTGTGTGTGTATAAGGACAAATAGGAGAGCCGAGTTCGAATTCCAGTTACACGCAAGCACAAATATTGGGAGTGGTTGGAATCCATTTCTTAACTCAGCTATGAGCAAATAACTGGACAAACAGGGACCTATAACCTTGGTTGGCAATCAGTCTATGAGAAGGAAAACACTGAATTCAAACCAGCCTTGTGAAGGTGGGGCTCCGTCAGGCTATCATGCCCAAGACACACAACTGTGGCTGTATGGGAATCCAAAAACCTCGACATATATATATATATATATATATATATATATATATATATATATATATATGTGTGTGTGTGTGTGTGTGTGTGTGTGTGTGTGTGTGTGTGTTAAAGAATAGTTTAGCAGACTGTTATATTTTTAGGTGGAAGTGTATCTCTGCTCGGACTTCCTGAGGCTGACCTTAAGGGTCAGATAGAAGACAAAACAAGGAAGTCGATTTTGATTTACTGAACAAGCGTGAGAACGATAGATAGAGAAAAGGTTTTCGGGAAGTCGAGTCTAAACCATCAAACAATATAGACGTATTATTTTCGTGTCTGGGAACTTGCTCCTCGGTTGGGTGAGACAGCGACCTCACTGGCTAGTTGAAAGATGTACACGTCGATGTAAATAGAATAGTTCGGTTTAAAATTCCCTTTGTTGACGTCTCTTTTATCTCTGAACCAAAACAACTAGCGATCACCGACTGTGAAAGAAGAAACGACGTTATTATGGGATTGAAGCCGTCGCCCGAAGACTATCCCCACCAAGGGGCTATACAACATTGTATTAAATTAGCGCCGATGACCAAGACCTCCTCCACAAAGTGTCTATGCAACATAGATAGATAGATAGATAGATAGATAGATAGATAGATACGTATTGAAGAAGCTGAGGATAGATAGATAGATAGATAGATAGATAGATAGATAGATAGATAGATAGAAGAAGATTAGGATTCTGATAGATAGATAGATAGATAGATAGATAGATAGATAGATAGATAGATAGATAGATAGATACGTATTGAAGAAGCTAAGGATAGATAGATAGATAGATAGATAGATAGATAGATAGATAGATAGATAGATAGATACGTATTGAAGAAGCTAAGGATAGATAGATAGATAGATAGATAGATAGATAGATAGATAGATAGATAGATAGATAGATAGATAGATACGTATTGAAGAAGCTAAGGATAGATAGATAGATAGATAGATAGATAGATAGATAGATAGATAGATAGATAGATACGTAAATTGTTTCTAAGGATAGATAGATAGATAGATAGATAGATAGATAGATAGATAGATATGATGAGATAGA